AGCCCCAAATTCCTTGGGATCAGAGCCCCAAAATTCCAAGGATTTGAACCCCAAATTCCTTGGGATCAGAGCCCCAAAATTCCAAGGATTGGAGCCCTGAATCTTAGGAATTGGAGCCCAAAATTCCAGGGATTGGAGCCCCAAAGTCTTTGGGATCAGAGCCCCAAAATTCCATGGATTAGAGTCCCAAAATTCCGAGGATTGGAGCCCTAAAATTCCAGGGATTGGAGCCCCAAAAATTCCAAGAATTGGAGCCCCAAATTCTTTGGCATCAGAACCCAAAATTCCAAGGATTTGAACCCTAAAAATTCCAGGGATTGGAGCCTCAAACCTTTGGGATCAGAGCCCAAAATTCCAAGGATAGGAATCCCAGAATTCTAAGGATTGGAGCCTCAAACCTTTGGGATCAGAGCCCAAAATCCTCGGGATGTGACTCCCCCACCCTCAGGACTCACATTCCCAGAATTTCGGGATCGGCCCCTCAAACCCTGGGGATGAAATTCCCAAATTTTTGGAGATTGGGATTCCCTCCCTTCCCAAACCCATTCCCAGCCCCCCCCAAATCCCGGGATTTCATCGTATTTTGGGAATCCTGCAGCTTTTCCCGCCTCCAAATTGGGGATTTTAGGGAATTTTAGGGAATTTTTAACCCTTTTTCCAGGAATTCCGACCCTTCCAGCAGCAAATCCCGAGACATTCCCAGAGGTTTTTTCCCTCCCCAGGTCGGAAAATCGGGATAAAAAAAATTCCCGGGGGATTCTGAGGTGAAAATTGAGGGATTTTTTTGGCTCCTTTTCCTCGAAAATCCACCAAAAAAACCGGGAATGTTGTTGGGAATGAGGGTCAGAGAATCCACAGGGACACCCCAAAGAATTCCTGATCCCAGAAATCCGCCCGGAATTTCTCCCCCTTCCCCTCCCCCCCTCCTCGGATTCCGACGGAAACCAAAACCCCGGGAATTCCAAAGGGAAGCCAAAAAACCCCGGGAATTCTGCCCAAAAACCCCGGGAATTCTGCCCAAAAACCCCGGGAATTCTGCCCAAAACCCCGGGAATTCTGCCCAAAACCCCGGGAATTCCGCCCAAAACCCTGGGAATTCCATCTGCTCGGATCCGGGGGAGGGGCCGGGATGGATCCGACGGCAAATCCGCCCTCGGAATTCCGGCCGGGAGCCAAGGAAAGGTCGGAAAAGTGGGAGAGGAGCCCCCTCCAGGCCCAAATTCCAGCAGAATCCGCCCCAAATCCCGGATTTCTGGGGGGTTGGGGGGCGGGATCCGTCGGAATTCCCAAGGGAATGAGGCTCCTTCTCTGAAAAATTCACTTTTTGGGGGATTTTTGGGGGATTTCGGGGGGATTCCGTGGGATTTTGAGGGGGTTTTATGGGATTTTGGGGGGATTTTCCCGCTCCCACGTTCCCTGTGGATCCAGATCCCAGGAATTCCCTCGGGAATGTTGTTCCTTACTCTATAGATCCCAATTTTTGGGGGATTTGGGGGGATTTCAAGGGAATTTTGGGGGATTTTAAATAGGATTTTAAGGAATTTTAAATGGGATTTTCAGGGATTTGGGGTAGATTTTCCAGCTCCCACGTTCCCTGTGGATCCAGATCCCGGGAATTCCTTTGGGAATGTGGCCCCCTCCCCCCGCAGCTCCCACTTTTTGGAGCATTTTGGGGGATTTCCAGTGGATTTTGTGGGATTCCAGGTGACTTTTGTAGGATTTTAAAGCAGATTTCCAGGGATTTTGGGCACATTTTCCAGCTCCCACGTTCCCCAATGATCCAAATCCCGGGAATTCCTTTGGGAATGTCCTTCCCTACCCTGTGGATCGGCCTTTTGGAAGGATTTTGGGGAGATTTCAGGTGAATTTTGTGAGATTTTAAAGCAGATTTTCAGGGAAAATAGGATTTTAAGGAATTTTAAATGGGATTTTCAGGGATTTCGGGTGAATTTTCCCGCTCCCACGTTCCCCGTGGATCCAGATCCCGGGAATTCCTTTGGGAATGTGGCTCCTCCCCCTGCAGCTCCCACTTTTTGGAGGATTTTGGGTGAGTTCTTGGAGGATTTCAAGGCATTTCAGGTGAATTTTATGAGATTTTAAAGGGGATTTTCAAGGATTTTCAGGGATTTGGGGCAGATTTTCCCACTCCCACATTCCCTGTGGATCCAAATCCCGGGAATTCCCTCTGGAATGTGGTTCCCTACCCTGTGGATCGGCCTGTTGGAAGGATTTTGGGGGGATTTCAGGTGAATTTTGTGGGATTTTAAAAGGGATTTTCAGGGATTTTGGACACATTTTCCAGCTCCCACATTCCCTGTGGATCCAAATCCCGGGAATTCCCTCTGGAATGTGATTCCCTACCCTGTGGATCAAACTTCTGGAAGGATTTTGTGGGAGATTTCAGATGAATTTTGTGACATTTTAAGCAGGATTTTAAGTGATTTTAAACAGGATTTTCAGGAATTTCGGGCAGATTTTCCATGTCCCACATTCCCCATTGATCCAAATCCCAGGAATTCCTTTGGGAATGTCCTTCCCTACCCCATGGATCGGCCTTTTTGGAGGATTTGGGGGGATTTTTGGGGGAGTTTCAGGTGGATTTCAAGTGAATTTTGTGGGATTTTAAAGCAGATTTCCAGGGATTTTGATACATTTTCCAGCTCCCACGTTCCCCATGGACCCAAATCCCGGGAATTCCCTCTGGAATGTGGCTCCCTACCCTGTGGATCAGCCTTTTTGAAGGCATTCCCGGCGTCCACGAAGGCGGAGGCGGCGTCGTGTTTGCTCTGCAGCTGCAGGTGCAGCCGGGCAGCCTGGGAGAAGGCATTCCCTGCTCCTGGAAAAACAGGGAAAAAC